GCGCGCGCTCCGCCCGGCCCGGCCCCGTGGGGCCACCCCGCGCACCCCAAACACGCCGACCTCGTCATCTGAGGCGCGGGGCTGCGGACTCTCCTCCGCCGGCACGTCTGCCCGTTCCCTGCTCCCGCAGAGCCCGGAGTGGCAGCGCGCTCGGCGGCGCCCCGTGCACGGAGCGCTGCAGCCCTCCACCCGCCGCAGAGCAGTAAAGAGCACTTTGTATTTCTGGTTATATTTGCAATGTAGTCACTCCTTGATTACCCTACGCGAGCGCTTCCCCTGAAACGTGCAATAGTCAGGAATGTAACTGTTGTAACAGCCGCGGCCAAACTAAACAGCTCGTTCCTTGAATGTCCATTGCACCTTGATGTATTCGGAATAAATTATTTCAGTTGGCAGCAGTACGTACTTGTGCTCTGAAAATGCAGTTGCATCTTATGCAATGCGTGTAGCGCGGTGGGATAAAGCGTTTGCACCTTAAGGAGCAAAGGTGCATTTTGAATGTTGCTTTTGCTCCTCTCGAAAAGCACAGAAAAGAAGGAAAACTAGAGAGATGGAGTTCAGAGAAAGGAAGCAGTCCATATATCAAAAAGGTGTGCTCCGAAGGCACTAAAACCTGTGGCAACAGCCCGGTCACCTGCCCCATGTCCTCATCGCGGACATGCGAAAGCCATAAAAGCGGCGCGGGCGCCTGCGAGGGCCCCGCTCCCCCGTGCGCAGCGCGGCCGCGGGGCGCCCGCTGCTCCGCTCTGTCCCCGCGGTGCTCCTAATCCCTGCGCCCGAAAGCCACGGTCCCATGATGAAAATGAACGGAGCCCCCATCCAAAAGCAGCATTCCTCCGGGAACCAAAGTTCACTTTTCTCTAAAAACTTACGTTTTGTAACTTGCACTTTGCTCGGGATGGGCTGGAGAGTGGAAAAGAGGTACACGGGGAGAGAAAGAGAGCGATTATTCCCCGAGTGAGGGAACATCCTGCCCTTAGGACATGGCAGAAACCGGCAGCGTGGCCAAAAGGCCTCCCCGAGGCCCCCGGCGCCGCTCGTTCCTGCCGCGGCCTTCGCTGCGAGCGAGGCAAAATAGAGGGGCCAGAAGGGTAGCATTCTTGGCCGGTGAACGTGCTTTGCAAAGATTTATCCAAACTGCGCGCTGCCCTCTAAAGGTCTGAGAAACCCGCCAAGCTCCAGACGCTGCTCGGGCTGTAACTTGTCACCCACACCCTTGGGACATGAAAACGGGGGGAGGGAAGGAGGATGACGAGCGGATGGTGAGCGAAGCTTTCCAGCCTCCGCACGTTCCTCCCTGCAAGCCTGGCCCGGGCCTTCGGGCCTCACGCACCTTCGCTCGTCTTCTCGGTGGAAGCCCCGTTTGCAGCTCTCCCGCTTGCTTCGTTCCTGGCAGCGATTGAGAGGAGCAGGGGACCCACGGGGCCTTGCGGCTGTTTGAGTAACCGGACTCAAGAGCCGTCCCCAAAGCGCCTCCCAGCCCCTCGTGCGAGAGGATGGCTCGGAGCAAGAGCCATCGGGAGAGCGCCGGGGCCGCCCCGGGAATTCGGAGTCACCGGAGCCACCGCTCTGCACAAGGCTGAACGCTTGTGTTGCCATCAGCCCCCAGAGCAGGAAAAGAAACCAACCCAAGGACACACGAGAGAGGCGCCACCATCGCACGGTGCTGCAGAGAGCCGCGGAGGAGCCTCCGTGAGCCCAACGCGGAGCACAGGAGGAAGAGCCGCATTCCCTGCTCCGTGACCACCTCGTCCTGGCACCTGGCTGCGCTCCCGAGTGCCCAGGGAAGCCCGACTGTCTTAGGCGATCGTTTCCCTTTATTCTGAGGCGCACGGGTGAACGCAAGGCGAGGGATTCGCTCCGAAAGAACCAGGGAAAACAACCCCCCGGCACAGCGGCACCTCGCTTCAACTGCCCAGTTAGCAAAGGAAACCCCGAGCCCCGGCGGCTGCTCCCTCTGCGACACCAGCGTAACTGTTTGGATGTCCAAGTACATGCAATTCCGCACACGCTGCCTGGCAGCAGCGCGATGGGCCTCCCCGAGCCCCCACGTGCCTCGCTGTCCTCCCAAGAGCAGAGAGGCTCCAGCACCCGCTCTGCGCTGGAACTCACAGTTCCTCCACGCGCAGAAATGTCTGCATCATTCTGGCAACAGATTTTGCTTTTTTTTTTTTTCTCTCTTCTTCCTCTCTTCTGCGTCTTCATATCCAGGGGAAGAAGGTGTAAACACAGAGCAAAACAATGAAAGGAGCTATTTAACTCTGAAATAGAAGAAATGCTTTTATTGCACTTCTACAGAAGCTGCATAGCCCTCACAAACAGGATTCCCCAGGTACTTACTGCAAAGATTTGTTTGAAGCAACTGCCGTGGCTCTAATGCACCTGGGAGGTGGCCGGAAAGGGAAATTCAAACAGAGCCAACTTTCACGGAGGGATGAGAAGGGACCTAAGAGCTGATTCTGCCCTTGCAGTTGCCCTCATCGCTAATCCAACATTGGAATCGCACCCGAGGGCAGAAAGAGGTGCATTCTCGGATGCAAGAGGGGAGTTTCCTCCGGCGGGTGTTTGCTTTTACGGCTAAGCTGTCACTGTGGCACAATTGTGCCGGAGACGAACCGGAGAGCTCGGCCTGGCTCCCGGCCCCGCCGCTATTTGCTCTCGCCTCTCCCGGAGGAAGAGCCCTGTGTATTTTCCTTCGCCCGTTGCACGGCTAAAAGCCAACGCGTGTTTGCTCTGCTCTTTTCGGGGGCTGCGGGACGGCCTGGAGAGCGGCCGCAACGGAGGCACCTTCTGATTGAGGTTGGGGGAATAAAAGGCACTGCCGGACACCTAAGGGGGTCATTGGGGTATGCAGCCGGGACAGCATCACACGACATGTCTTAAAAGTGCAGCACGGCTTTTTATTCATCCGTATATACAAAGAGGAGCCGCGCGCGAGCCCTGCGCGGCCGCTCACTGCACGGCCACGGCGGCGGCGCCGTGGATGGACTCCATGACGGCCGCGAAGCGGCTGCACAGGTCGTAGGGCGAGTTGGGCCGGATCTTCGGGGGCTCCTTGAGCACGACCACGTCCGCGGAGCAGTCGAGGAGCCGGGGGAGCAGCTCGCCCAGCTTCAGCTGCAGCTCGGCTGGGGGGGACAGTGCGGCCCTGAGCGCCGGTGCCCCGCGGTGCCACCCGCACCATCCAGAGCGGAGCCCCGGTGCCACCGGGAGGGAGCTCAGTGCTCAGGGCACGCTCGCCTTGCATGTAAGGAGATGAGAGCCTTGGCTATGTCCCTGAGCCCTCAGGCTTGACAGAGCACCCGGCATTCATTGCTAAGTGGCAATTGTGCTGCAGCACTTCGCGGTATTTTCCCTTTGTTAAGGCTGCCTGGGAAAGAAGGTGTATCCAGAGCGCTAGACAACTGAGAGAACTCGCTCTTCCTGCCCGAAGGGAGCCGCGTGCCTGCAGCCCCATGGCCAGCATTCACCTGCCATCTACGGGAGACTCGGTCAAGTGCAACAAAGGCCAAGCTCGGCACACCGAGAGGCTGCCCCTCCTGAAAATGCTTCCTCACATCTCCATGAGCAGGAATCCTCCTGCAGCGCTAGAGCACCTCAACTCTGCCGCAACAGGCGCCTCCTCTCGCAGCCTGCCGGGTCCGAGGGAACGTTCCAAACGGCGCTCGGGCTCCCGCCTGGCTAAGAGGGACGTGCCCTGCTGGGACCCCGCGTGGGGACACTTACCGTCCATGTCCTCGCGGCCCAGGTAGGAGCACCAGCGGTTCCGCATGAGCTCGATGGCGTCCAGGTCCTCCTTGGAGATGTCGTTGTTGATGATGAGGTGCATGCAGGGGATGATGAGCTCGTTGAGGACGCTGACGCCCTCGGCCACGCGAGCCTCCTCGTGGCTCACAAACAGAGATGCCGCCGCGTCGTTGAGCTTCTGCGCGAGCAGGGACACGAGGGACGTGGTCACCGAGGTGGCTGGGACAGCGGGGGACAGCCGAGCCGGCCACACTCGGCTCCCGCAGCAGCCGTTGCTCTAGGGAGCCCCGGGAGACAACAGACCCCCAAGCGATCCCAGGGGCAGTGCACACACATTAATATATACATATGTATGTCTATGTAGAGCAGAGGCTTTAGGACGCCAAGATACAGATATGCCTTGACCTAGACGCCCCCCAAACTACAACCCCATCCCTCACCCAACCGTGTTTGCTGGACTGTCACACTGCTGCCCACCCTCGGTGAGGGGCGGAAGCCTCAGTAAGAGCCCAAGAAATATCGTTGGGAGGGTCTTGGCCAGAACCAGAGACAAAGCTCACGTTTTGCACTGCTATCCCCCTAGGGAAACGAACATCACCGTTTGCTTGGAAGGGGAAAGCCATTAACACTGGAAAGCAAAAAGAAGGGGGAGGCACCGCTGGAAGCTAATGGGAAATAACCTGAGCGCTGCTCCTCCGCGAGCACCGTGAGCAGCGCCCGGCGCTCGGGTACCCACCAGGAGGCATTCCCGGCGGTACAGGGCGATGAGGGCCTCGCTCACGCCGCGCCGCGGCCCCTTGCGCAGCAGCGCGCTGTTGCTCTGGTACGCGTACACCAGGTAGCTCAGGGCCTCCCGGTACCTGCGGGAAGAGTCCGGAGCGGAGCCGCGCGCCGCGGGGAAGCCGCTCCCGCCTGACGGACAACCGGCATCTCCCCTGCACAACAACAGCGGTTGTTCCAGGGCTACCACCCGCCCGCTCCCTTGCCCCAGCGTGCCGGCCCTGCATCGTTGGAACAACTTCCCAAAGCCAAGTTTAGCCAGAGACGAGCGCCAGCTGGTCTCTGCGCCGGTGCCAGAGCTTTGCACTTTGGGAGGACGCTCGCAGAGGGGGCACAGAACAATATTTTCAGTTCCTTTCCATATTTCCAGTTTAGAGAGGACTCGGTGAGAAAGCATTTAAGAAAACAACTGCAGGGCTGAGCTTCTCGCGGCTGCCAAATCCAAACACGCGGCAGGGACGAGCTCATCTCAGAAAAACGCTCGCACACCCTGCCCTGCCTCTTGTCACTCTGCCCGCTTGACTTGGCGGCCCGTCTCCGAGAGCCACCTCGGAAGAGAAGCTCTGTTCCCAGCCGGGAATCATTTCTAAAAGGCAAGTTTCCTCCCGCACGGAAAATAGGGCTTCATAAAATCCTCCTTACGATGCTACTATTGTATATCCAATGCCCTGTGTAGGTAACATACAGCTTCAAAGCCGTCGGAGCAGGGAAACAGCAATGTTTTACAAACGTGTGGCATCGCATCCCGGACGGTTCCGGTGCAGTGCCGAAGCGCACAGAGCCAGGAAAGTGACGGCAACCATTCCTGCAAACTCATCCCTGGGAAGGAGGAGACTAGGCTCCACCGAGGGAGAGATTAGTGGGAAACCCTGAGAAGCGGGGTCAGGCGCCCAGCTAGTAACTCAGCACAACATGGGAATTGTAGACCGAGGTCAGCTCCGCAGGCCCGAAAAGGCTCTTAGCCCGGCAAGAAGCCGGCACCTCTCGGCCACAAATGGAGCCACACGGCTCAGAAGGAGCTTGGCCTTCCAGGCCGCAGCTAATCTTAGCCCAACATCCCATTAAAATTAACCTACTTTCTATTCTGGTACAGCTCCAGCCCTGTGAGCAGGTAAACAGAGACCTTCCGAAACAGGCTGTAGTCTTCGTGCCATCTCTGTAGGGGAACAAGGAGGGGAGCGGAGCGTCACTGTCACCCGTAACATGTGCACGCGCCGTCACATTCCTCCCTGGTGCCAGAGCGCCCTTACCTTGTACTCCTCCATGTCGACGTCGTCAGGGCCAATTTCTCGCAGCTTCGCTCGGGCCACCTTCATGATGCTAATGGACCTGCTCGGCACAAGCAGAGAGGGCCCAGGCGGAACCGTGAGGCCGGGTCTCGGGAGGAAAACCTCCTCCCGCAACGCGGAGCACCAACCTCTCATCGTAGCTGAGGTTCCTGTCCGCAAACTGCTCGAGAAGGGTGCGCTCCACGACCTGCTTGGGAGCGTCGTTCTGCAGGAAGTAGACGAGCACGTGCTGCAAGCGGGCGTCGTTGCGAGGGGTCGGTGCCTCCTT